AGCAAAAAAAAAAAAAAATCCCAAAAACACGGCGGCAGGGTGTGGCTGTGTGTGTGTGGCGCTGCGGGTGTCTGCCCGCCCTGGCCGCAAAGAAAACAAAACAAGAGGGAAAGAAATGTGTGCTCCGCCCCACAGGCCCTCGTCGCACGCCCACACGTCACGGCTCCCTCAGCGCGCCGTTCGTCGCGGCCCCTCCTCATGCGTGCAGCAGGCGAGGCGCAGAGGGCCGTCGTCATGAGCGTGTCGGTGGGTGTGCGAGTGGAGCAGTTGGGCGGGAAACACACGGCACCCCTCAAAGGAAGAGTGCAGCAAGAAACAATTGAAAAGAGGGAAGAGTAGAAAAGAAAAAAAAAAACCGCCCATAGTGACTGCCCCCAAAAAGCAAAAAAAAAAAAAAAAAAAAAGATGGGATGGCGGATAATAGAAAAAACGGAAATAAAACATTTTTTTTTTTTTTTAAGCAAACAAAAATAATTAAAAACAAACATAAAAAAACATGAGAAATTATACTCCGAACAAAAAAGAAAAACAATTAAAAGCCAAAAAAAAAAAAAAAAACGCCCATGATGGTTGCCCTAAAGCAGAAAAGGAAAAATGGAAAACATTAAAAGAAAAAATTAAAAGAAAACAAAAACAAATTATTCTCCGTGTAGTAAAATTTATTCCTAGCGGTGTGTGTGTTGGTGCAGGAGTTGGGGGTGCAAGTATTCCACACTGAGGCCGCACACTCCTCACGCAGCCACAAACCCCCACAGTCCCAGCAAAAGAAGCAGCGACAGCAGTCCGCTCCCAGCAGGCGCATTGGCTCGCACACCCTCAATACGAGGGATATGACTCCTTTCCGTTCCACCCTCCACCTGTGATCCCGGGCCTCTCTTCGGAACGGGGATCCTGTCCTTGATTGCACGCATCTCAGTGGAATTCAGTGGGCGGTTGTACAGAAAGACGTTCTTCACCGTCACAGGAGAGTGTTGGCCGGCGGCCGTTGGACTGGACTCCTGAACGCACGCACCAAAGCAGAAGTGCACAAGCTCAAGTGACTTCTCATCTGTTAGCAGCACTTCTCCTTCCCCCAGCGACCGACCATCAATGTGCACAGAGGCCTTTTTGCCTTGGAGCATGAGTGCCACTTGGTATTCTTTCTTCGGCTCCCAAGTGCTGCTCCTTGTTGTTTTGTCTTTGAACACCGTCTCCATCTTCTTATCCGCGGTATACAAGATTCCCATGGTATGATTGGACTCAGTGTCCGCCAAAGTCGCAGTCAGTAGAGGAGTTTTCCCACTCGGAACATTTTCGATGCTCACCGTCGCCACAACTGTGAAGTCGTGGCTCAAAAACACATGCCGCAAATTATCACCCCGAGTGTTCACAGGCCATTGTACCCTGGAGTTAGACTCCGTCAGCTGCAACCCCTCTTTGACCTTCGTGGCGTTCGTCACCGTTGCATTCAGGCAAAGGTACTCGTCGTTCCACCTCCCATCACTGGCCGCACCGGACAAAACTGCCACCAGACCCGCCGTGGGTATAGACAAGCTGGAGAAGAAAATGTCCTTTTGCGACCAAGTACTGAGGACGGACTTGATTGTACTCAGTTCATCCGTCAGGCGGGAAAGTGACATGACACTGCCTTCACCATTGTCCCTCTGCTGTAAAAGATGCAGATTGCCACCCGAGTACAGCAGGCTGCTGGCAAGCTCCTCCTTTTCAGCATTGTCCATGCCAACCGGTCCAACATGAAACGAGCGGTTGTTGTCCGTCACCCAAACGTAGAGCGCAGTGGCCTTATTCTCCCCCGAAACGTACCCTCTCTGTGTGTACAACATGACCTTCCTGCCCTCAATGGTCGCGGTGATGAGGGCCTCCACATGCAGGCTTAAATCCTGAGAGGCTCCCGATTGTGACTTGACCCAAATGCCCAATAGCCCCCCGATGGCCTCCGTCCACGATCTCCCCATGTCTCGCGACTCGTACACCCTCTGGCCACTCTCGCAGTCAACAATCATGAGAAGCTTTCCCTCCCACTCGGTGATGCGGGGGTTAACGCATTTCGCAGAAGAAACACTGTTTGAGAGCGCCCAGGTACTGCCGTTGTCCTTCGAATAAATGATCATGGAGTAAACGTCTTCTTCTTCACTCTTCGCCATCAGAGAAAACACAAGCGTGCCATCCTCCATCAAAACACCTGCGCCACCAGAAGCAACAAACCCCGTCAATTTTCTTCCTTGAACAGCTCCAGTGGTCTCGTTCAACGGTGATTGGACTTCGCCCCAATTGATCCATCCACTCTGCTCGCTGTCCGTAGGCTTCCTGACATCACCCACAACTAGTTTCAGTTTCAAGCCGCCATGACTCCAACTCTCATTTACATTGGACGCATCAGAGCTTCCCGCAAGAAGAAACACCTTATTGTCCTTCGTGGTGGTTGTGGGGCGGAGCACAACATCAAAACGCTCCGTTCCATCCGCTTTACCGAGCACGGTGTGTGCCTGCCATGTACTTTTTTTGACCTCAGCAACAAGGGTGGACCAATCCCACGCAGAGTCAATGTACCAAGCAACTGCATCAGAAGAGGGTTCACTTGATGCGTTATTGGATTCTTTGGAGCTCGGGCGACCTTCGGCGAAGGCAGCAATTACGCCACCAGCACTGACAAGAGAGGGTGAAGCAAATGAATTCCACTTCTTTTCCGAATTAACTCCACCTCTCGGCAGCAACACCGTCGTCTGCGGCACAAATAGATCAAATCTCCGTGGCAGCCGCGCATTCACTGAATTCTCACCCGTCGATGCGGCCGCAGCCTCACAGGGGCCGCAGCACATCCACATCACGAGGAGGAGGAGGAGGAGCACCGCGGAATAGAACACACGCCGGGACATGTTGGGCCTCTGCGGCTCACTCTCTCTTCCTTCCCTCCTCCTTCCGCTGGATCCGGTCACGCGGCGACGGTTGTGTGTGTGGGGTGCCTTCACTGCAGCAACACGTGTGAGCATACAAATATGTGTGTGTGGGCGATGTGTGTGTGTGCTGTTGTTGGTCCTTTCTGAGCCTTCAAAGTTCACAGTAGCGAGTAGCGCTTGTTTGCTTTCTTTCCTAGCGTGTCCGTGTGCATGAGGCGGAGAAGAACAACGGCAGCAATACATCAGACACGCCAGCGGGGAGCAGAGCAGAGCACCCACGCAGAGAGCGGGACACAAGACAATCCGGAAGGGACAGCACGGAGGACCATCGCCCACAGAAAAAGGCAGCAACACACACACACACGAGGTGCGAGGAGAGCACCGACCCTCTCGCAGAAACCGCACCCAACAGGTAAAGGCAGGCAGAGAGAAATGAATGGACGCCGTCAGGAGGCACTCACAATCAACATGGCCCGTGAGCATGCGGCCACTCAACGCAGGAACAAAGGAGGAGATGATGACAGGAAAAACAGTAAGAAGCTGCAAAACACAAAAAAAAAAAACGACAGGCGGAAAAAGCACCGCCAACACCCTCGCCCTGGCCGGCAACTCCACACCAGCCCTCACACACACACGCACCATCGCAGTGCCGTCAGTCCGCGGGTGAGAGGATTCGGCCCTCCATACAAAAAACGCACACACTGCCAGCAGCCACACACCGATGGACAAGAACGAGAAGAGACACAGCTCCACTGCCTCCAGTTCAGTCCCACGACCAACGGGATACAGCCACAGCCCCGCAGCCAACACACAGCGCACACGAAGCGAGCAATCTCCCATCCACCCACACGCGGAAGCGGGGCCCTCATCCATCAATGACGCGGCGTCTCACTCCATGCAGCCACACGGAATGCACCATTTCCTCAATAGAACTTATCCTTCGTCCATCCCTTAAAAATGCTTCTGTTAGTGATGGGCCTTAGAACACAACAGAAAAAAATGGAAAATGCAGTGGTACTGCGACACCGCCAGCCACAATGATTCCCTCATACCGGGGCAATTCTCCAATTATGCCTCTTGTGCACACACACAACTAACATACCATATAGAAATCACCCAATTTTTTTCACCAGAAACCAAACAACCCCACTCCCTCCCTAATTTCTTCTGTCACTGTTATGTTCGATAGCTTTGGTCATTTTTGACATCTTTTTGTAACACTGTCACCTGGTGCTGGTGCACCTGCACCGTATGCACACAAAAAAATATCCAAAAATATATAACTCCCACAATATTTCTTTCCCACAAACAAAATTGCCCCTTTCATTCCCTAATTTTTTTTCCTACTTCGACGGTTCTTACACACTTCGGAGTGCTTCGTCTCTTCTAAATCCTCCGGACGATATTGACACTTGGTACGGGCGCACCTCTTCCTTCCAGAATGCCGCTATTTCACGGCCTTCATCGTCGCTCACATTATCGGAATTGTCGACATCACATCTCTGCCAGTCATTCATCGGCGTGCTGTCTGCGCGCTGCACACAAATAATATCCCACGACATGTCTAGGGATAATTCCTCCCAAACATCAAAATACGCCGCCAGACACTCAGTGAACTGCCTCACAGTGCTGGCGGTGGTGTGGTGCCCACCCGCCGTAGCCATCCGCAGCCCAAACAGCGTCTTCCGCGGTGACTTCAAAAAGAAAAAGGGTCCACCAGCGGAAAGCCTGCACCCGCCGGTATGCACAGCAGCCGATGCTTTATATTAGTATTTGTATGGTATTCATTGCAACCACTCCACATAAGACTCGGCGCGGTGCCCTTCAGAATTTGCCGCCAGCACCGCGCACTGTCCTCCACTGCGTGCTGGTGGCCTCAGCTCCTTGAATTCCTCCTCTAATAATGCACCGAAAATCTCCCCAAAACATTAATGCGCGCAATCCAAACTCTCCCATACATTCAGACAAAAGAGTACTCCTCTTCCCCAATACTAGCAACAGAAAAGAAAAATACCTTTCTCACTCATCACGTTTCCCAAAATAGTGCGGTATTCGACGCCCGAGGCAAAAAGATATCGGTGCGTTAAGAAATACCTCGGCACCGACTTCTCCTCTTGCTTGGACAACCCTCACGAGCTTTTGAGACGGATCCTCAGAGTCCCACAGTCTCACTCCTCCATGTGTAAAGTGCTCTTCACCATCCCGGGAATTGATCCCATCCAAGGCATCCTCAATGGCGGCAGAGTGTGCAATGAACTCATTCGCATCAAAGATGTAACGTGGAATCGGCCCCACGTTATCCATGCGTTCTTTGACCATCTTCCAGCATTCCGCCTGTTTCTCTGCAGCCTCGTCACGCTTCATCCATGCACACATCGCCTTCACATCCATCTCGGCGGGGCAATTCATGATGATTCGCGCGGCTCCTTCTTGTTTCTCCCATTCACCGTAGTTGCGAACGCTTGGCGATGACACCACAATCATGCCCCATCCGGGGCCAGGCAAAAAATATTTCGCTGGCGGTTTCCCTTGCCTTGTCACATCGTAAATAACATACCCCTTCAACCCACAATCCCATAAATCACGCAAAAATTCCTTGGATGCTCCTCTACCCACGTGTCTTGTCACCGCCTTGATGGTCTTGTCAAACACGTACGTCGTATTTCCACCAAAACTGTAGATAACCAAATGGAGTTTCTTGGCATCGCAGTGCAGCAGCTGGTAGAGGAGGTACGAGCCGGCACCCATAGACTTCCCAATCCCGGGCGTCCCAATCAACACACGTCGCCTAGGCTCAAAGTAGGTCCCAGGGTGAGGGCCGAGCAATTCGGTTAGATCATTCCTGACGGTCTGCCACACTCGCTCCACCTCACGGTTCACATGACAGTCACGAAGGGATTCATCCTCCCCCCACGAGTACGGCCATCCCTTGTCCGAGGTGAGCACCATCAGCCTGGGACGCGGTGCACCGGATTGCTGCACACCGTCATCCTTTTCGAGAGTGTCGCCAACTGCCTTGTACGTCCATGACTGCGGTGGTTCCCCCTCCTCCACCTCCATTCCCGTCCCCTCGCCGCCAGGAACTTCCACGACATGGTGCCACCTCGCATTGTACACAGACTCGTAGCATCCCTCCAGGTATATCGGTGCACTCGACTTCTTTGGGTTCCTCGCTTCCTGGGCGGCCGCATCCAAGAACCTTTTAGTGATTTCTTGAACA